CTATTTTTTTCTGTGGTAGACTATTTATCAGAAATGCGTGTTGATAAAGTGGTTATGGCTATCACAACATAACTTGAACTATTATTTTATTTCTAAACCCAGGCCTCATTGAAGTACACTTTGTATTTCCTGTTAATTTAACCGCTCATTGGACAATCTTATAAACTCAATGTGTACTTCGTAAGAGCTGAAATAAAGGATCTCTCATTATTATTTCAAAGTATAGTTGTGCTTTGCAGAGAACAATCTTGATACTTTTGATCACTAAAGCATGTCACCTCATAAATTTACAACCAGATCCTGCAGACATCCATGAAACCAGCAGTAGTGTTTCGGGCAGTAAGTCTATTCTTCTGGCACTGCTAAAAAGTTGGATCAATTTGAATCCAAACTCTCACCAGAGCTCTGTTTGAGACAATTCATCCAAAGGGAACTTATCAAAACCAAAATGCTTTACACTGGGGAGAAATAGAATTTGAATGGAGAGCAGATGGACTTAAAAGCGACCTTCCCCCCTCGCTTTCTACCTCCCTCAGAAACAGTTCCCTACACTGTTCTTTCCCACCCACATATTGTTTTTTATTTGATTAAACTCTAGTGATTGAAATTTCTGCAATGTAAGGCACATTTTGCTTTCACAGAGTAAGTTGTTTGGTACCTTATGAAAACATGTTCATATTTTCTATATCTGTGTTTGCAGAGTGATGTCTTTCCTTACCTTCCTGTGTGATGCGTGAAGGGCTGGCCAGGCTGGAAGGCAGGAGGAGGAGCTGAGGCATGTCAGGGTCTTCAGTTCAAAGCTGGCTGTGCTGGTGGCAATGTACTAATATTAATGTTAGCTTGGTACAGTAGGATGACAACAGGGAGGTAGAAAGTCTGAAATAAGATGTTGCATTACACGAGTCAGAAATATGCATCCTGTAATTATGCCCATTTAGCTCTGTTCCATCTTCCCTTGGGCAATGGAAAGGGAAGTCATGTTAAAGTGTATCTACAGTTAGCTTTTTTGGGATTGTCCCAAATTAGAGAGGGAGACAAAGTTATTGATGAAAGAGAAGAATCATCTCTTTTTTTTTTTTCTGTACTTGAATGTTAGCACTTCCTTGTGATGACCACGGTTCTTTTTCTCAGTTTGATTTAGGGCATGCACAAGTGTTTACTGCTTTCAGGCCTTTTAATTTATTTAAAAAATTGGAGGTGGAGGAAGGAAACAAGAATGAAACTTGGAAAACAGAAGTCTAACCTATTTAACATGATATGGGTGCCCAGGTGCGAGAGTTGTGTGCTTGAATAAAATGTCTTTTGGAGCAAATGAAGGTTGCTCTATTACTTGGAGACGGGCACCTGAAAGCTTGGTGATGCCAAATGAAAGGTGATTACAGCTGCTTCTTAGAGCTCTCTTTGAAATGGATTTGGAAGGATGAATATATCTTCTGCCTGAATATTTTATGTTCAGCTTCTTAGTCACTCTTTTGTATAGTTGTTTTAGTGATTAAGGCTGGTTCTTGGCACCACTGTTAGTCTCTGAACTTCTCTGAGGAGCTGAAACTAGTAGGTCTGATAAGACACAATGAAATTCTGTTGTGGAGATGTGTAGAGAAACTCATACTCAGTATTCTTTTTTTACATAAGCTGGAGTGTTACCGATTCACTCCTTGGGCTAATTTTTCCTCACAAGTATGAGAGTTCTTAACTGAAATGGAATGTACGTAGTATAAACATTGAAACTCTCCAAAGATTTTTAACAGGAAAGGTAACTTCATGATAAATAATTCCAGAGGTTGTGTTAGATTGTTTGTCATCATAAATTTTAAAATCAAGTTCAGATGTTTTCCTTTAATTTAAGCACTGAATATTTTAACCACTATCAGACCCACCTCACTGAAATTCCTTACGAAGCAGATGAGACCAAATGATCATAAAGTTCCCCTCCACATCTTAAAAATCTGCAATTCCTTTTACAGTACCAAATTAGTTGACAATTAATCTTAAAATAGTGTCAACCTTTTTGCCCCCAGGGTCTACTTACATGGGTTCATATTGATAGACCTTGGAATTTTTTTTCATTTTTCTTCTACAAGCTAACGGCTGCTATTATATCATCTTTGATAATATACTATGTGAACATAGTCCTTTTTTTTTTTTTTTTTTAGTGAGTCTATTTGAGTTTTAAGCATTCAGAGACCACACCAAGCTTGGCAGTGAAGATGCTGAGGATGAACAAGAATAGAGATGTGCTCAAATGAACTGCAGCCCTGAAGCTGCTCTCTGCTGCCTGAGATGGAACACAGAGCTTCACCACAGTCAGTGCTGTTTTTCTGGAGTTAGTTAAAGATACTTTCTCCATTTCAGATCTGACTGGTTGTTAGCGAATGGAGTGTAGCAGGGAAGTTTCCTGATAGTCTGGAGCATCCTCTTGATGCTCTCCTTCTCCAGGGCAGTCCAAAGCCACCTCTGGCCATATAAGGCTTGGAGAGGTGCTGCAATGTGACCTGCTCGAGTGCTCATAATTCCTTCAGGTCTAATATTTGTTTCTGGATTATACTGGGTTAAGTACTGTCAGGCTGGTTCCCACAGAGAGCATTCATGACTTTTTTCACAGTGGCTATGTGTTTTCACATGGACATTGAGACAAGTCTTTAATTATGGGACTCTTCTTATGATTTAACTATTAATAATTAGCTTCCCAGATTTTTAGTTCTGAATAATTGCTAGTGCCACGGAGTCGTTGTATATTATAAGTTTGACTAATTGAGCGCAGCCACTTTTTGTTAATTGTTCCTGTTATGCACATGCTAAACCCAGAAGTGTTGAAGTTGCTCTGGGACATTAATTTTAAACACAATTAAAACATCATAACCTGTTGGCAGTTATTCTCTGTGCATTGTTTTGATATTGATGGTTCCAGATCTGAGCACAGTAATTAAAAGGAACCAGTTATTGTTGATCCCACAGATAAACAAATGATGATTGCATGCTGTGAACTGGTTAATCAAGTTTATTTAACTTGTTGTTGGTGATTCATCCCAGTGACTGTATTGGGGAGCTCTTTATTTGAGCCCAACAATATAATGGTTCTGGCTGCCTCCAGCTGCTAAAGAAGTTTCACTAACTCTTTTAAATAGACTTTAGTAACATCTTAAGGAATAGCATTGTTACGTACACAAATTAAATCTAGTTTGAGACCAGGGACTTTTCCGTTAAAGTGAGAACATGCTGTAAGACCTTGCTGTCCCAACTGTTCCCTGTCCTGAGCAGCAGCAGAGGTGATTATGTTTCCTGAGTGGCGATTTTGTTTTATGTGTGAGCTCTCTTGTTTTGTTTGATTTTGATGATACTGAAGTGTGCCGTGTGTAGTCTGTCCCTTTGCCAATGCTCTTTAATCCTGTTTGAGAAACTACTTCTGCACCTGCAGAAGTTTTCATAAGATGACAACTAGTTTTCAAGTCACATGTCCACAACCAAAAAAAGCAATCTCTCTTAGATCATCTCTGCATTTTGTGGGTCCATGTTGCTCAGGCCCCTTAGCAGCACTATCAGCATCATTTACTGTTAGTCTCAGCAGTGGGAGCATCTTGCTGTGGCCATAAAAGCAACAGTTTCAGACCAGTGTAACAGTGTCCCAAGGGGCACCTGGCTGCTTACTAAGACATGTCAGTGGGGGAGTCAAGAGACAACTCTGTCTTGTGCTCTTGGCTGTGGAAACTAAAGGTGCTGGCTAAAAGTAGATAGATTATTGTCTATTAGTCTTAGACTGATTTTCTAGGTATTTTTCCCCACCATGGATGGAGGTAAAGCCTTCTAAGGGGCCAGAGTGCATTGATTCTGATCTTATTAATGTTCTTGGTACAAACGCTACTGATCTCCAGAGCTAACCCTGGTTTTGTACAAGGCTGAAAAAGCTCCTTCCTTTCAGGCATTTTAGGCAACTATGTTTTGTGCTTTCCTTTGTGTTATATCAGGATAAGATCTTTTTAAATGCTCTTAGTTTCAGAACTCTCGATTTCTGAGCCCTGTATACAGGTAACGTCTTGGTACTGCTTTTATGTTGCTACTCCAGGCAACTGCACTGGCTTTCTTTTTCCATTAGTGGTTTCTGAGTTATTTTACATTTCTTGAACTTGGTGGTGTTCAGTGTTCACTATTCCTGTCAGAGCCCTCTTATCCTTCCAGCTGGCTGTGAATGTAAATTGCAAGAGGCTCATCATGCTTGTCCAGACTCTGGAAAACCTCAGTGTTAAAGGCACATTCCTTCATGTCACAAAAGGCAACGTCAGATAAGTGGGATGGCTGGCCATCCCTTCTCCTTCTAAAATAGTTTGCAATCAGAATGAGTACAAGTAACCCAAGGCCAGTAAAAACATTACTCTAAATAAAATGTGTATCACACTGTTTTCTTTATAATTGCAGGACAATGACAGAAGTATTCTGTTGGGAGCACTGTACTGCAGACTTTAAATAGCAGAGCTAATGTTTAAATTGTATTTTCATCTTTTCTATGTTTTCCATGCCAGATTTCTGGGATTTTTGCCAGGTTCCAAGAACATATAGAATTAATTGTTAGAAAGGAAAATAAATATTTCTCAAGTGCTAGAGAATATGTGTGTCTGATCTAATGAACAATAGTTTTGTTCATTTATCAATTGTTCATTGTAATTTACTCAAATACTTTTTGTCTGGAAGGGAGAGGATAGGGGCATGAGGAGAGCAATCCTACTTGAGCTTCTGTACCAAATTTATGTATACACAAAACATTTCTGCATTCAGTAATCTAAGTAGACAGGATGACATTTCTGCCAGATACAGATGTAGAAGGAAACATAGGGGAATTTTCCTAGCCTGTCCAGACTGGGCAGTTGAGAGGTCATTGCAAGCAATTTGGCTCATGTTATATTGAAGTCAAAGTTGAAGAAAGCCTGAAAGACCATATTATGCTAGGTCTGTTTGCAAAGACATCCAAGATAGTGTTACCTGGTGTTGGAATATGAGGTTGATCTAAATGAGAAATTGCATATTTTTATTAATATCTCAGTTATGCTTTGTTCTCAACCTAATTCAGAAGTTATCTGTGGATAAACTTTCTGGTCTTGATGCTGTAACTCAACACTCAGTTTGTTCCACCATCTCTGATTCAGTGTTATGGTTCTGATAGACTAAATCAGTCTGATATTCTCCACTAAATCAACACGTGGCATCTGCTGGAATCTGTGGGATTTGATCTCATCCTTCTCAGCCACACTATTTTTTGCCTTGCAGCCTGGTAGATCTGTTGATTCTCATGCAGGCTTCTGGCCTCTGATCTGCCAAAAGAGAATTAGTTATATGTTTCTATATGTTTTGCTACTGAGGCTTCGAGATCCCTCTTAACTGAAGTCCCTGCTTACATATTGCTACCATTCATTTTTATTGGCTTCGCTAAAGTTGAATTCCTGTATCTTGATTTTTTCCAAATTCATTCTGTGAGCGGCCTCAAAGAATCCAACAGAAAACAAAACCTCAAAGCGCTTATATAATGAATTACTTTTAAACTAGACTCTAAAAAAGACAGAGGAGCATTTATCAGGAATGTTTGTGGGCTTGGTGGTTACGAGCTTAAAAAAAAAAAAAAAATACCGTGTGGAAAGGCTTTTGTCCCATGACAGAGATTTAAAAGGCTGCGGGTTCGGATTCCAGCGGAGGCTCAGGCCTGTAATCGCGTTTGAAATGTTGCCTTTCACACGGCGGCGCGGGGCGCGGGCCGGGTAGGGGCGGCTGCGGGGCCGCTCGGGCGGCTGCGGGGCTGCCGAGCCGTCACCTGTTGGGGCCCGGGCTCGGGGGCGCCCCCGGCCGCCGCCGCCGCGCTGCCACCGCCGGGCCGGGCCGGGCCCCGCGGGCGGCCTGCGGGGCGCCTCGAGGGGGGGCTCCGCGCCGGCGGGGGCAGCGCTTCCTTTCTCCTCCCCGAGCACCGGCGCTGACAGTCCGGGCTCTGCGGCTCCAAGTTGGAGAGGGGAGCGTGAGCAGTAGGCAGGGACAATGGAGGAAAATGAAAGCCAGAAACTTGAGCTGTGCCTGGCTTGCCCAACAGACAGCGGGCAGACGAGGGGTAAGTAAGCGGCGATGTGAGTAAGGCAAAGATGGAGTTACGTTTAAGCATGCCCCTCGTTGCTGCTTTTTATAACTGGAGGCAGAATGCATGGAAAAAAAATAGCATGTCTTTCTTGTGCTAATGGCTCTGCAGATTTCCTTAATACTTCGACTTTATGAGTTTAACTTTCTCTTTGAAGAGATTTCTATCTGCCCTCTAAAGCCGGGAGCACATTGTGTGGCTGTCACGGATGCGGGACCCTGCCGGTGCGGAGGGTGCTGCTCCCGCGAGGTGGGGGAAAGCATCTCCTCTTCCCCTTAAATGCTCTGGCAGCCTCACCTATGGTAAAGAAATAGCTCTTCCTTCATAAAAGTGGGTTTGAGCTCATCTTTACCTCGGGTTGTCTGTTAAAAGGGGGAGATCCACGGCAGATTGTGACAGGGTTAGTTTACTTTGAGTGAAACCACTGGGGTTTATTTTGGAGCGAAGCCAAGAATGTTTAAGCGGGGTTTCCACGGCGGATCCACTGCGGTGCGTTCATACATTCACTGCTGCACTATTTAGTATAAAGTGAATGAAAACTATTTCCTGGCTTGTTCTACGTGGGCTGTTCCACGTGGAACATAACATTCAGGTAGCATGACAAACACCTAATCTAATCCGTATCTATTATAGTATTTGTGGGGCACCTGTGAACATTCCCATTTCATGCGTGTTGTGTTCCTCACAGGCACTTCAGGAAAAGTTGTGTTACTGCACTTCTGTGAAACAAATAGTGCATGTGGTTTAAAAAAAGGTTTTAAAAAAGTTACACAAGTTTAGGAGCATGCAATACCAACAAATTGGCAACTTAGGAGGAAAAAAAATACTCTTCCTTTTTTTTTTTTTTTTTTGGTATTGAGGGTTCATTAATTGATTGGTGCTCTTTTGAATCATTTTTCAAGTTAAAATACTGAACACTACAAGTCACCTGTGTTTGTGTATGCTTATGTTTAGTGGGACAGAAATCGTCACTTAAAGAATGTGTCTGAAAAGGGAAAAAAAAAAGCCTTTAGAAACACATTTCTTCTGTAGGGGTTATATGAAACTGCCTGAGATACATGTGGAGCTAGGAAAACAGAGGTCTTACCAGGCTGATCCTATGATTCCCAAAAATGTTGAGTGCTGAAAGCTCATAAGCAAATGTAGTAGTTTTGGCCCATATCCAAAATTTATGTTGGAAAGTTCCTTGGAAAGAGAGTTAATTATAAAGGCAGTGGAGTAAATTAGAACGATTCCAAATAATCTCACATTTACTGGTAACGTAAATGTAACAGAGCTGGATTTGATCACACTGTTAAATCTGTATTCTTTTTTAAAATTTTAGTATTGAATGGAGTTTGCTTCAAGGTTCAGTTTCACAGTGTAGTATGGGTCAGGTCCACACTTGTTCCTTTCTGACATTATTCTCAAAATGTTCTCTCATGTCACCTGGGTTGCAAAACAAGACTATTAAAATCTTCGCAGCATTTAAAGTAATGAAGCAAAGTGACTTTCCTGACCTTTGTAGACTTCATGGAGGGTGTGACTTTGAATTACATAGCAGGACATGCTGGAGGACTTTTTTCTTTCTCTCTTTTTTTTTCTTTCTTTTTTTTTTCCTAGCTCACAGCCATTAATCCTTCATGATAACCTTCCAGCTAGTCCTAGGCATACTGCTTCTATGCTGCAAACCTGGGCCTTTTCTGTATTTACATCCACTGTAGTAATGGGTGATGTTGATGTTAAGAAATCTTGAAATTTGTTTTCAGATCAGAGAAGCAACTCAAGTGTAAGGGTTACTCAAGCCTTTGGATAACCGAAGTCCTCCCTGACATCCAGCAAGTCTTTCTTTTAGTTCCCCTCTAGACTTGCTGCTTTATTGAACAGAAAGACCATCAGCTTTTAGCTTCTGAATATGAGGGAGGGAGAGAGGGAGATGAGCTTATCTTACACCTTTGTGTTTTCCACTGGCTCCTCTTTGCTCCTTTTCCAAGGAGGGTACTTGCATAATTTATCCTTTTCCTACTCTTAGTGCTCATCTGGGAACTATCACATGATCCTTCACACATTTCAAAGTTATCTGTGGAGATTGATTTGCTAGGCCTGTTATCTTCACTTGGAAGATACGAAATGTTTGCCCACAACGTTATTGAGTAACTCACTCAGTTTTTCCTGCCTGTAGCACTGTGGCCCACCCAACATCTGTAGAGCTGATGTCCCTCAAGATACACAGGGGGATTTCACCAACGCAGTGTTCAACCTTGCCATTGAAGTCACTTATCCCTGTGTAGGAAGTGGCCAAAACCATTTTTTTTCATCAGTTAGTAGGGAAAAGACCCCTATTGAAACACAACAGATTTTGATTTGCAAAGGAAGTTACGTGCTGCTGTGATGCCACTGGATCAAGATCCAGCTGGATGCCCAAATCAGCTCTCTGGCAAGACAAGCAATTAGTTAGCATATTTTACATTCCTTTCTTCCACTGGTATTTATACAGCATTTTCCAAATATATTTTTTTTTTAAAAAAAGAGAGAATTTGTTGATCTTTCTAATATAGGATAAGAAAAATATGTTATTTTTGACTCCTTCTCAAGGTTTCACCCAATAACAAACAGTGGTAAAACACTATACTTCATATGTCCTTTGTGCTCCACATAATTAGCTCTTTCTTAAACTATTGAAAAGTCTAAAGTGCAGAGTAGGGAATGACTTCACATGAGAGAGATTTAGGACCCAAAATACACATTCATGAGTTCTGAGTTGTGCTTGTCAGCATAGGTCTACCTGCCTTCTTGAGGAAGTGCCTGCCACCAATTCAGTGATTGAAATTGCTGCTGTGACCGTACTTCAGGGGTTTATACCAAATTGCTGCACTCAGTCACCCACACTCATGCTGACTCCCTCCAACTCCAAGAAAATATCTTATTTATGTCTGCTGCCTTTGTTCCAACAGCCTCCAGGATATAACCTCCAGGCTCTTGATGCAACAAATTAAAGATGGTAAATTCCATCCAGCCCCAGCCTACCTCTTTTTCCTCCCATGTAAAATCCTTTGAAATGACTGTGCAGCTTTCAGAAACTGTTTTGACTGAGTGTATCTGGAGTAGCCATACTGACTTCTTGCAAGCTAAACTCTCCTGTTTGCCATTTTTCTCAAACAAGATGAGTGTACCTGATGGTTGGTGCTCTGAATTTTCAATAATCAGAGCGAATGGATGTTTTTTAATTGAGTTGTGCTTGAAAAAGTCGAGTGCACATGTATGTGTGTGTGTATGTGCATGTGAGGCTGCTGCTCTGAAATTTTAACCAGGACTCTGCTACTCAGAAGGACTTAGAAGGTGCTGCAGAGACCACAGATGACATTTTGAATCTGTATGAGAGTAAGACTTCCCTGTGAACCAAACTTGTTCCTAAAGTTGTGTCCCACTCTGTGCTCATCTGGTCCCCTGTATCTGGATCTGCTTTCAGGATAAGTTCCCATGAAAGCAAACAAAAGGGTTTTGTGGAAAATTTTTGAGTACTTGAACAATATAGAGAGCTTACAGAATCATCTTTAATGATCTTCATCTTTAATCATCTTTAAAGATCTTCCAGGGCCAAGTTCTGTGGCGAAACCTAAGGGAATTGGTTCCCTATATGAATTGGCGGGATGTCACATCAGCACTGGCTGCACTGATAGAGGATTTGCTTTATTACCAGGTCTTGATGTTCCATGGGATGTGGCAGGCAATTGACAACACACACCAGAAAGCTGAGAAATCCTCAGCATAAAATCCTGAGGCAAGTGGTAGGCACAGTGTCAAAATGACTGACTGAACCATAAAAAGAAGCGAGTAGGTGCCTGTTTCCAAACAGCAGTGCCATATAATGGCAGCACGTGGGGGAAACAGCCGCTGGGAGAATAAAGGGCTCTGAGGTGAAAAGTGTCAGACAGAAGGAAATAAAGATTTATTCAAAAGAGCTAGAGGAAGGAGCTCCCTGCTCCTGGGGTAGTGCTGGGAAGGGTTAACATAGGGACATCTGAGAGTGCCTGGTAAAGATGGGGAAGGGCACATTCAAACTTTTCAATGCTTCAGGTTTTTGTTGTTTTTTTTTCTTTGCTGACAAAGGAATGAGGGGTTTTTTCAAAGGTATTAGGTAACAAGGCTCCAGACTACAGTTTTTTGAGCACTTGAGGGTTCATGTTACAGAGTTACCTGAAGATAAGCCAGCACTCACATACCCTCTGTCTCGGCCTGTCTCTTTACAAATGTTGTCATGGTCTTTGGTCTTAAAGTAGATTTTAAAGTAGTAAAATTTATCTGAGGGGTTTTTCCCCTTTTTTATATCACGCAAAACTTGCTCTTACTCTGTTTCTTAAGAAATCATTTATTGAAAAAATTATGCGGAATTTTCCAGCCCGCTATCCTGAGACATATAAAATCCAAGGGAGATCCGTGAAATTTAAAACCAGACCACAGTCAGAAATCAGGAAAAAGAGACTCCCAAACCCTCCTATTATTTCACAGGTGTTTTAGAACATGTTGAAAATACATTGAAAAAAGATTAAGGATTACAAATCTGCTTTGTCAAAGGAATTTTATCAGTTGGTATCCTTAAGGATACTAGTTATGGGGCCATTAAGTGTACTGGAGGCTATTGAAGAAACCTGTTTCTTCTTGTGGAAAGCATCCTGTAGATCTTAAAGGTCAGGGATTAAGGGCC